CACAGTCCAAAGATGTGCAGGTTAGGTGGATTGACCATGCTAAATTGTCCATAGTGTCCAGGAATGTGCCTGCTAGAGGAATTCGCCGTGAGAAATGTGGGGTTACAGGGATGGGGTGAGTCTGGGTGGGATGCTCTTCAGACGCTCAACATGGTCTCAATGGGCCGAATAGCCTACTTCCACACTGTAGGGTTTTATGATTCTGTCCCACCGTTGTGCCCTGTGCCAGCTCCAAGCCTCTCTTGACAGATCTGCTGAGTTTCTCCAGAAATTTCTGTGTTCTTTTTTCCAGCATCTGCACTATTTTGCTTTTATCCAAGCTACTTCTATCTTGTGTCCCACCACGTGCAGATCCCACTTCCAAATTATCCACCAAAGGAGGCACACCATCGATATCTAAACTGCTGGCTGAGAATGACGGAGTGAGTGATGGTATTTATTCTTCATTATTTCTTCTGCTGGTTTATCATCTGATGTTACTGTGTCATTATGTGGAAAACTCAAAAGAAACTATCAAAATATATACTATTGTATGTGTCCAACAGGCCAAATTTAGTTTTAAAATAATTACTATTACAAGAAATATGAACAGGAGCATGCTATTCAGCCCATTAAGCCTGCTCTGCTATTCAATAAGATCATGGCTGATGTGATTGTGGTCTTAACACTACTTTCTTTCCTGTCCTCATAACCCTCTATTACCTTGTCAATTAAAAATCTGTCAAACAAAGCCTTATATATAATTAATGACTCAACGTCAAGTGGTCTCTGGAAGATAATCCCAAAGACTACGATCCTTTGAAAGAAGAAAATTCAACCTCATCTCTTTATCTTAAAACTGGGCCCCTAGTTCTAGATTACTCCGCAAGTGAAAGAATCCTCTCAGCATCAACATTGTCACATTCACCTCAGAATTGTACATGTTTCATTATTGTTAATGTTGTTGGGTAAAACCAGAATCAAATGTAAATCTTCCTTTCTTATGTTAGCATATTGCATCATATTTGACTCATTCCCTGGTAATAATTTTCTCTGGTTAAGAGGTCTGGGTCTTTCATGTAAGAATATAGGTTCCTTACCTCGTCATAATACTTCCCAGGAATATTAATGTCACTGCTTATAAACATCAAGTAATAACATTCTTTAAGATATGAAGTCAAATATCATCAAATCCGTGTGCCACTGTGACTAGAATATGGTGCGTTTCTTGTTCAGTATTCATATCTAAACACGAGTATCTCAATATAAATAAGTGACGCTGTCTTTACCATTTAGTTACTTTTTCACTACTTTTCTGAGCACTTTTAAATTGTATGTTGCTTGAAGCTCCAAGGCAACTGATCATTAAATTGAATTATGTTTACTTGTCTTATTTTAAACCTGTTATCTATGTTGCTAAACAGATAAGAACGCCCATCGCTAGACAGGAAAACCCGTAGGCCAAACAACCTTACACATGAAGGCAGGACTAATCAAATAATTTGCCCTTGTGTGGGAGTTTACATCACAGCTGTCTACCTGTGTGTGATGCAACATGTGATGTAAACTTAGGTGGATTGCTACATTGCCTGCCTCACCTCATGTTTGTGACAAATGACCATAACTAACACATGCACCTCACAGATGAATTTGTTTACTTATCCTCCCACCTGCAGCAGTCCTTCAAGTAAGAGTCAAAGTTAAGTTTTACTCTCCATGGCTGGAAGATATATCTGGCATGCAAGGTATAACAAAGTCATTATGTTCTAGATTTATGAAATGTCCATACAGCAAGTAACATTACATTTTGCTCACTTAACATAAATTAAAGGCATGGCTAATTATTAAGAAAAGGAGCGGAATATATCTGTTACAGAGATAGTAGGAACTGCCGATGCTGGAGAATCTGAGATAACAAGGTGTAGAGCTGGATGAACACAGCAGGCCAAGCAGCATCAGAGGAGCAGGAAGGCTGATGTTTTGGGTCTAGACCCGAAATGTCAGCTTTTCTGCTCCTCTGATACTGCTTGGCCTGTTGTGTTCATCCAGCTCTACACCTTGTTATTGCGCAATATATCTATTGTTTACAATACGTTTGACAACTATACTTGAACATGGGGAGGGGTGCCATTAAATAGCAGACAAGAGAAAATAATAGTGTTGAGAATGAATGTTTTGGTGCTTTAGTTAAACTGCTTTTAGTCCAATTGAGCTGGTCACTGTAAAGAGGAGGCAGATTGTATGTGTATGTGGTTTGTAGAAGGAACTTGCTTGTTGGACTAATTGTTTCCTGATGTTCTTATTCTTGTAATATAAACATGGCTTGTAGTAAAACCAATGAGAATGATTTTGGCAATAGGCTTACTTTGGAAATGATTCTTTCACCTTTTTATCTGACAATGATAATCCTCTTGTAATAACATGATTTGGTGACTGGCGATGCATGGCATCGAGGCTATCAAAAGACACTGAAGAATCATCACCGATGGATTATGATCAGCTACAACTAAGATCTGTTGTAATCTACTGCAATCTCCTTCAACCTTGTTTATTCAACTTTGAGAATTCTGAGGTTTTTCTGAATGAAACAAGTATTGTTCTCCACGTCTTTGCTCACCAAAGAAGTTTTATGTGGTTAGATTCTGGGTAAGTGAGAGGGGCAATGTTAACGAGTCTTTACTTATCCATTTTGCATACTAGTATGAGGCATATATTGTAGTGCGCACCTAGCAAAGGGCAACTGTTTGAAATGTTCACAAAGCAGTATACTATAGATGCCAGAAATCAGAAACAGACAGAGAATTCTACAAAACTCACCAAGTCTAGCAGCATCTGTAGAGAGAGAAACAGAGTTAACATTTCAAGTCCTGTGTGACTCTTCTGCACAACGCAGTTCTAGTCTAATTCTAATCACAATAGCAGGGCGTTTGCATCCAGGGTTGATGGTTAAAAAAGATGAATATCTTAAGTGGGGGTGAGGAGTATGCTCAGAGGCTGCAGCACTGCTCCTGTAGGCCCATAAACAGTGCTGTAAAAGGCTCTTCTCTCAGCCATATGAAATCCTTACTGTCCGTTGCCTTGACATACCTGCCCAGCAATAAATCTGGAAGGCAGGTTAAATGTGAAGCATATAGCTCAGTATAAAATTTAAATGACCAAACTGCCTCTTGGGAGAAGATTGGTTATGTACCTGTCCTGAAGTATCTCATAAGAAATAGGAACAAGTGTAGGCTATTCAGCCCATCCAACCTGCTCCGCCATTCAATAGGATTGAGTCAGATCCAACATCCCTCACGTCCACTTTCCTGTGATTTCCCCATAACTTTTGGTTCCCCTATTGATCAAGAATCTATGTCAACCTTAAATATACACAAAGACTCTGACCCACAGCTCTCAGTGGCAACAAGCTTCAAACAGCCTCAATCCTCAGAGAAGAAATTCCTTCTCATTTCATTCTTAAATTGGAGCCTCTTTATTCTGAGACTATGCCCTCTTGATCCTAGAATCTCTTCATGAGGGGAAATTATCCTCTCAGCATTTACCCTCTTAAGCACCTAATCTTCCACTATCAAACTCTAAAGTGTTGGATGTAGGTTTGGGTTGGATTTAAGATTTTTCTTTAAATTTTAGCATCCCCAGCTGACCAGAACCCACTTTTTTTTTGGTTTAGGTAGCTCTTAAGTATATAGTCAAATTTCACATGTAATTAGAAGACAAGAATTCCTTCAGCAGGGAAATATGAATTCAGCAAAGTAGAGAATGAGCTGGATTGCTCAGCAGTTAGGAAACGGTACCTGCAATTTTTTATATTTACACTTGATCTTTAAATTCTTCTTTTTTTTTGCATTGGCAAATTGTTTTACCAAATGATGCAAATAGCACGCCAGCTTCTGCAAGGCATTTGGGACTGTGGGATTTGGCCAAGTAGCCCTGCATCACCTTAATCAATCAGACTGAAGAGTCATCACTAAAGTAGCACAGTTTCCATATAGGCACTGGGCATTACAATAAATAATATTCCTTTTAATTCTATTGACAGGATTAAAGATAAAACTGGCAGTTATGTGCTGCAACGGATATCAGGCATGTCAAATTAAAACAATGAAGGAAGCCTGATTCATCAAGGAATGTCACAATCAAGTCTCAAAGTAAAACCACGTGAATGAAATTTGAGCAATGATTGACTTCCTGCCAGTTCACTAAACCTCTGACACTGTAAATATAAGTCAGGATGTGTGTGTATTCACAGACACACCCCTGAAGATTGTAATTTAGTAAGATTAGTAAAGGTCAAATATTTCAATATGGTCTGCATACAAACATACAAAATGGGAGCAGAAGTAGGCCATTCAGCCCCTCGAGACTGGCCAGCCATTCAATAAAATCATAACAGGTCTGTTAGTGTTTTAAATTCTACGAACTCATTTACCCTCAATAACGTTTCATTCCCTTACCAAACAAGAATCGATTTACCTCGCCATAAAAATGTTCAATGACCCATTTCCACCGTCATCTGATGCA